TTAAGTCCTTAATACGTTCACGTATTCATAACGTATGTCTCATAGTCACACAAGCAAGACACTTAAGATTGAACTGTAGCTAATGCCCCAGGAAGTAGGAGTCCTAATGATAATTAGCAAAGTTGTAAAAGGTTCAACTTAGTCTTAATGGGATAGTCAAAAGTTAGCTTAAACAGACCCTGTATTTTTTGTTTGTTTGTTTTTGAGACAGAGTCTTGCTCTGTCTCCCAGGCTAAAGGGCAGTGACATGACCATAGCTCACTGAAACCTCGAACTCCTGGGCTCAAGTGATCCTCCTGCCTCAGCCTCCCAAGTAGCAGGGACTACAGGAACGTGCCACCACACCCCACTAATTTTTTCTATTTTTAGTAGACACAGGGTCTCACTCTTGCTCAGACTAGCCTCGAACTCCTGGCCTTAAGCAATCCTCTTGCCTCAGCCTCCCAGAGTACTAGGATTACAGGAGTGAACCACTGTGCCTGGCCAACCCTGTATTTTTATTTTTAGTGAAAATAAAACAAAGTAGTAAAAGCTTGCATTCTGGCAATGAACCATTAACATACAATCTAAATCTACTGGTGAAGTACACATTGTTATTAACTAGTGACCAACATAATATTTGCTAAAATTTGAAGTCTTTCTTAAAATATTTAAGTATTAATAATTTGTTGTATAAATATACCCATATCCACTTCAATTTAGTGTGTCAAATCACATTGAAAAAAATCAGATCATTAAGTTAAAAATTCTAATACTATTAATATGTTTTAAAGATAATGCTGAAAATTCTAATTTTTATGTTAATCTCTATTAAAAATATAACATGAATATTTAAGAGAGAAAACTGAAAAAACCCTAGACCTGTTAACCACACCACCACCCCTAAACTTGGATTCCATTGAGTCTTGCCATTTTAAGAGTTTTTTAACGTAAATGATTGGATCTAGAATGCCCAATTATTACAAAACAAAGATATGAAATGTAGGAAATTACAAAAGTTTTAAGTGAAAAATTGCTAAAATGGCTGATGTGTTAGCTGAGCAAGATTATCTAGGAATTGCAAAGGCCTTAATTTATGCAAGGTCTAACAATTGTGACTGCTATTCATCAGACTTGCAAACCTGATTTTTAGGTTTTAGAGCCAGAATATCAAAAATTGAGTAAAATCTCTAGCGTTTAAAGCCAGAATACTAAATATTGAATAAAATGCATTTCAGCCCTGGAAAAGGAACAATTTTGTATGAAAGGATATTCAAATAGCCCCTCATTGAGCCACCACAATGAGCCTTGAAGATTTACATGATTGAGCTGGAATTCAAAGCCAAAGACAAGACAGAAGCATTTTTTTTCTGGGATGCACAAAAAGATATCCATAATTAAACATCACACTTCCCTAGGGCAGCATGTTTTCTTATATTGACAAGGAAAATGAGGTATTTCAAATCAGGCATTGCTGGCTTACAGTCATCTTTTGCATAGCTATTGTTTTAATGTATTTCTGGCTATTAGGCATTTGTCTATTTTTGGTCAGTGAGGCATGCAGTTTAAAGAATTCTGGTTTTGCATAAAAAGCTGTTAGTGCAATTACATTTCTACAACAGTATCTTAAAAATAATTATGGACTTATTTTGGCTGGTCATATACACATTTTATATTCAAAGGAGAGTGGCTGTAACTTTAGTGTAATTAGTACAATTAAAACAACTCTAGAAAAAACTTTCAGAAGTACCCATTTAGACACAACTATATGCTTTATTTTGCCTTATTTGTCACAGCTGGTTAAACATACCACACCGATCCTATGATATGCTGGGAAAATGCCAACCAAACTTAACATTCCATCAAAAAAAGTCAGAGACTAATGATAGATTACGTATTCAATAACTCTTTTGTTCTAGGTCAAAGAATGCCACATTATTTCAGCTTGATCCTAACATAAATACTAACCTACCAAAAAGTACCAATTCTTTTAAATTTTACCTTCTATAAGTTTCCTCTACTTTTCTACCTGTACCCTAACCAAATTAAATCTTTTTTATTTTGTTCTTATAGTCTAAAGAATATGTTAAACTTAAATCACATACCAAAAAACTACATGTTTTTTTTCCAAAAATAACTATTTTATCTAAAAAGACATTTTACTTCCTGCTTTCCATTCTAAACATTATTTATAAAGATTAACTCTATTATATAATATTCAGGCATTTAATTTTCATTTTTAAAGTTATTTACTGCTATCATATAAATACACATAAAATTATTAGGATATTATTGGAATTAAAAAAGATCTCACCTACCTATCCATCCATATAAAAATCATGTCCTATAAAAATGCAAAGTGTCCAGTGCAAGACCTGAGCATTTCAGTATGGAAGCCGAACTATCATCAATGGACTCTGCCCACATCCAAAAGCCTCTTTGGACCATCAAACCAATGATAGAGGGTTGATAGTGATGTGAAGGCTAAGTACAATTTCAGCTAATCAAAATACATTCTAATTAAAGTAAAAATTGACTTTTTACAGCTTTCAAAGTCATGGTAGGAAATGTCTTGATGTCTGGGTTTCTTAAATAATTTTTCAAAATTTTATTATTAGTGTTTTGTTTGTCTTACTAGCTAAAATCAGAGGCGATATGATACACACATTTTATATGTTCCTTCAAAATGTGCTTACAACACACTTCTGAATGATCTTTAATGACTTTCCTTATTTCAAGCCCCCAAATTAACAAATGATAGTTACTTAATTACTTAATTAATTCAGCCAAGTCCTCTCAAATCATCTCGACCTACATAGTCCAGATTAATTACACTTCAAAATATGTTCTGCATCCACTCTTGGGCTCTACGGCTTGTTCTGCATACTGACCCCAGAGTGAGCTCTTCGAAAGGAAAGGCTGGTCAAGTCACTCCTCAGCCTACACTCCTCAATGGCCTTCCTTTCTCTTGGGACAAAGATCCAAATCCTACAATATCCAGAAACCACTCTGTTTCTGGTCTCCTGTCCAGCCATAAGTTACCACTTTCCCTTTGGATTCTGGGCCCAGCCACACCAAAGTTTTCTTTCCATTTCTAGGACGTGGCCAGCCTCTTCCCACTCCAAGGCCTTTGCACTGCCGTTCCTTCCTTTGCAAATGCTGTGCCCCACCTTCCACGGGCCTTTAGCCGTTAATTCCTACTGCTTCACATTTCCACTGAGATACTATTTCCTTAGGAAAGACTTTCCAAAGTACACCCCACTTTACCCAAGACTAGACCTGGTTTCTCTGTCATATCCTTTCCCAGCACTTTGGTATATTTCTTCGCCAGCCCTACTTATATGATCATTTAATCAATATCTGTCTTTCCACTAGACTAGAGTTACTCACACTTTAGCATGCAGTAACGTCACCTGGAGTATTTATTAAGTGACCACTGGGTCCCACCCCTGGAGTTTCTGATTCACTATGTCAGCAGTGAAGCCTGGAACTCTGTAGTTCCAACTTCCCAGGTGATGCTGATGCTGCTGGACTGGGGAATGATCCAGTACAGTGGTTCTCAACCCTGGATAAATATTAGAATCACCTGGGGAGCTTCAAAAATTACCAGTGCCCAGGCCCCACCTCAGAGGTTTTGATTTAATTGGGCTAGGGTGGAGCCCAGGAGGTCTTATTCCAAATATCACATACTTATACTAAAAAAATTTGTTTATTTAAAATTCAAATTTATTTATATTTGCTAAATCTGACAACCCTACTTATGGGTCCTCCTGTAACAAAGCAGATAGTATGTAACATACTTCTGCACTTATAAATATGATGGTCACCTGACCCTTCATCTCTGCAGAGCACAAAAAGGGTGGGTCTGAATAAGTGGAATTTTTAGACATAAATTTTTTTTTCTGAGGTTTAGACCTTAGAAGTCATTACCAACAAATTATAAATCTTATCTATGACCTTTTTAAAATAGGGCACATTCTCAAAGTCAAATAATTTAACATGATGACTGAATGATTTTGAGGTTCCTTTAAGCCGTGAGGCTATGGACCTCATTTTGGGCAAGCAGAGTGACAATGCCACATCAACATTATTGTTCCGCCATCAGCCAGTGAGTCACTTGGGCAGAGCTACCGCTGGGATTCAATACAGAGGAGGGGCCCTTTCATACATCAAAAATGGGTAAAAACTATTTATTTAGTAAGTATCACACAAAAAATAAACATTGAACACATGGCTGCCTTTGATAATGCAGTTCTACCCTTTTCACTCCTACGCAGGAAGTCCCGTGTCATCTTCCAATTTGACAGTAAGATCAGTAATTTCATGTCTTATGTAAACTGATATATTACATTTGCATTTCTGATGCTGTAAAAGGTCTACTTAATCCCAGCTTGGCATGTTTATAGCATTATGGGTAAACTAGAGATTTCCAAATTGAGAATCCTCTGGGATTAATGGCTAACCATGTGGCCTTCTGCCTCTCCACATAAGTAACCTGACAGGTCTCTGATTTAAAGACAAAGATGCCAAATAAGTATCTCAAATATTAAATGGCATTCTTTTATGAATACTCCAGATATTCAATCATTAACAAATATTGCTATTGTCTGTTTTATACAATGATTATTTGCCAAACTTAACACAACACTTTCCACTTACCACAGGATTTTAAGAACTGTTTATGAGAACAGGTTACTGAATGATGGCATGGGCATCAGAGCAAATTCCAGCAGCCTAAGTGACAGAACACGGAAGTTCACACGAACCCCACAGGACCAAGTGTAATAGCGGCAGTAGATGAGAGAGAGAAAGATCATCACACCAAGACCAAAGTTGGCCGAACATTTACATGACTTACTTCGATTCACCCAACTCCAAGCGAACACACACAAATCACTTCAGATTATTTTCTCTGATGTAATAAATCTCTATTACTTTTAAAAGAGATAATTTTAAAAAATAAGATCTATAACTGTATAAAATATCCACAATTACTGGTTTCTTTTGTCAGGACAGCTTACCAAATCCAAAGGCACTGGAACCTCCAATGCTCTGTGAAGCCTGAACACTTGTAGATGTGTATAGTCCTGTCACCAGCAAGCCGTCAAAGAAGGTGCTTGTTGAAATTGTCACTGAAATATAAAGAAAAAAGAAATTTCAATTAATACAGTCAGAATAATGCAATATATTTCTGAAACGTTAGACATTGTCAAAACAATCTTTACTCATTAACAAATTATTTTTATACTGTCCGTACTTAGTATTTTTTAATATTAGAAATTACAGAGGAGCAAAAAGAAGCTCAGAACTCCAGTATCTATAATTGCTGGTCCTAAATTTAGTACATCAGTCCTACCTTTCTGCATTCATTTACACATTTCCCGGGGAGGTGGAAAATCATCTGAAAATAATACAGCATTGAATAGACAGTTTCCCCACCTCCATTACCACCCCTGAAGGCAGTCAAAGGCATTGCTGGAGTTTTGGCATTGTGATGAAACATTTTTTTTTTTTTTTAAGCATTCCATACTGTGGGAAACAATCTTACACTGGCTGAAAGGAGAACAGTAAGATGCACTGCATTTCTTATTGTGAGTCTCCATTTCATAGATAAGTTCCCTGAAGTTTTTCAACAAAAACAGACTAATTTGCATGAAGACAGTCAGCCCTTATCCTCTTGTGAACAAGAAAAGAATGCTACTGCATGCTTTAAGTCTTAGAACAAAGTCTACAAGAGGAGTCCAAATGGTTTCATAACCAAAAAATCAGGATGTTCCTGGGAAGAAAAGAGTCAAATTAAATATATCTGTATGCTACTCAGGTTTGGCTTCTTAAAATTTTTCTCGCTCACCATCTTAAAAATTGATCATAATTTCCTACTTGACATGATAATATTTTCTCCAGCGTAGGTTTTTTTGTTTGTTTGTTTTCCCTTGAGACGGAGTCTCACTCTGTTGCCCTGGGTAGAGTGAAGTGGCATCGTCATAGCTCGCTGTAACCTCCAACTCCTGGGCTCCGGTGATCCTCCTGCCTCAGCCTCCCAAGTAGCTGGGACTATAGGTGAGAGGCATGATGCCCAGCTAGCTTTTCTGTCTCTAGTAGAGAAGAGGTCTCGCTATTGCTCAGGCTGGTCTTGAATTCCTGAGCTCAAGCAATCCTCCTGCCTTTTCCTCCCAGAGTGCTAGGATTACAGGCATGAGCCACTGTGCCTGGCTTCCTGCATAGGTTTTGTAAGACCAAGATGATGCGATTCGTAGGAAGCAACCAGGGGGAGATAATAACATTATTTTGGTAGTGCACAGTACAAGGCTGTCATCATGCTTGGTGGCTGTATGGAGAATGGCCAGAGTCACATTAACTTTAATGAGAATATTCAAATTAAACTCCAAGAAATCCAGTGAGCAGAACTAAATGGTCTGAAGCATGCACGTTATAAACCATAAAACAGGACATATGTATCAACAGAACAGCCTGATAGCATGCTACCCCCAAAATGGCAATGGATGTGGGAATAAATTACCTTCCCATTCTTTAATAAGAAATAATAGCTAATATTTTTGAGTACTGGCATGAAATCCACACGTAAACCACTCAGCTGGGCACTGAGCTATGTAGTTTGTGTATCATCTCATCTAACTGTCAAAACGTAGCAGGGGTACTATTATTACTTCTAGCACACAAATGAGGAATTTATGGCACAGAGCCATTAAGAACCTTGCCCAGCACCATCCAATATCACCTAAAAATTTGTTGTTGCTGTTTACATGGATTCTCTCCTGTTTCTTCCTCTGCTCCCTCCAGATCCCAAAATGGCAAAGTGACCATGGCCAAACCCTTGCTTAATAGCTCCTTTCCCAGATCATTCATGTGCAGGAAGAATATTTAAAGAAAAAGAAAGGGAAAGCCCCAGCAGTTGATATCACTGTTATTAGAAGGAGAGCAAAAGGCTACAGGGAGTTGCCCCCTGGGCATGGGGGACAGCCCTAGGGTAGGCAGGGAGGAGCCCCGGTGCTGGGTCCTCATCTGCTACCTGTTGGCTGGGTGTTCTTGGGAAAACCACCTCATCTCTCTCAGTCTAGATTTCCACACCTACAGAATGATTCCCTAATGATCAGTCCCCCACCCCTTTTTGCTGACCCCAGATTCCCACAATTGGTTCTGCTGATGCCTCCTGCCTTTGAGTCATGAGTTCAAGTTAACTAAGATTATAAAGTGCTTCAATTCCTTCTGTGCCTCCGGTGGGGTGTAGAATTAATTTAATTCCTGTTACATTGACCATAGTGACTATCAGACTTTAATGTGTCTCAGATCATCCTTCCCAGCAAATCACACCCAATCTGCAGAGCCTGGCTGGGCCCCACAAGGCCCTGCCTTCCCCACGTCCCCTCCGCCCACACCACCCCAACCGGTGAAACGGCAGCAATGCCGAACTAGGGCACAGCCACGAGCCCTGGGGGCGCCTCTCTGTTCCTTTATGCTTTTGCTCTGGCTCCTATTTTCCAGATAAATGAAAAAAAGTAAGAGTTTTGTGGGTCCAGAAGTACAGCAAACCTAAATTTGAATCTCACCTATTTCTCCACCTCTGATCAGTCTGTGACCTTGGGAGAGTCTCAGATTCTTCATTCACAGAATGAATTGGGTTTACCGTAAGAATTAATCTCTCTCTCTCTCCTCCCCACCCTCTCTTTCTTTTTCTCTCCCTCTCCCCTTTTCCCTGCCCTCTCTCAGACCTGAAGTCCTGTCTTGTCCTTCCCTTCCTGAGAGCAGGAGTCCTACATAAACCTCCTGGCATCCACCTTGCAGGACCTAGGCACATCAGATCACTGCAGTGCCCACGTCTGAGTCCTGCAGCCTGGCAGGGTTCTGCATCTACCCTCTCCACCCGCTGCTTCTCCTCTGATCACGATCCCCACCGAGTTAGAGCTGTGATCTCAGTGTGCCCAAAACAAGTACCTTCAGCTTGTTATTAATTTGCTTTCCCTTCCAAAAGACATTCTTTAAGTATCTGCTCAGGGTTTGTTTAAAACAGAAGCCAAACACTGTTGGAGAAAAGGCTGAGAATGAGAAGAATCAAGGGTGGCAGCTCTCAGTCTTTCCTCTACTGCCCTCAGAAATTCAGCTCTGGTCCCAAATAGGTACGCTCCACCCAGCAAAACAAAAGCCCTGCCAGGTCTAGTGTGACAATTGATAAATTCAATTCATTGGTAGCCTGTACATATCCAGTGATGTTTGAATCCCCTAAAGATGTGCATCTAGGAAGCTGCCTGGAAGGCCTGGGACTCATTTGGGTACTGAGATGACCAAGGTCACCTGTGCCCCTTAGACGTCCAGCCAGGCTGTTAACCCCTCACCAGACCTCTCTCTCATCTCCTACCCAGTCTCTCTCTTGCCCTAGATAAATTCTGATTTTTACTCCACCACATACCAAAATGCCTGTTTCAGATCAGTTCTTTTCTTTACATAGATTTTTAGGTGCTAAAGCAGCAAGGTCTAGTGAAAACAGCCCAGAAGTAAGAGGACTAGATTTTATTCCCAGCATAAATATTAATTTGCATGTCAGATTGGGCAAATATCTCTCTTTGTTTGGTTCTATTTCAGGTAGTGATGCAAATACCTATTATTCTGTAAGCTCACTGCTAGGTGGATTTAAATCTGTGGGAAATAATTTCTAAACATGGAATGTCTTAGAATACAAAATGGAATTACTACGAAAAACACTTACTCTTAGAGTCTCTTGGCTTTAAATACCATCCATAAACTGACTATTTTCAAATTTCCATCTCTAGTCCAGACCTCTTTCCAACCTCCAGATATATGTCAAGCTGCCACTCAACATCCCCACTTAGATGTCCAAGAGACATCTCAACCTCAACATGACCAATACTGAATGCCCATCCCACCCCAACCCCCAAACCTGTTCTGCAGCCTTCCTGTTGCTCAGGCCAAAAACCTCTGAGCCAACTGTGGAGTCACCTTTCTCCCACACCTGGCATCCAGTCCCCAGGGAATCCTGTTGGCTCTGCCTTCAGAGCATACCCAGAATATGGCCACTTGCCTCGTCTGAGGCACTATCCTCACTCCCATGGATTATCTATTTCCTTAGACATTGGTCCAGTCTTCCTGGTCCTACCCTCACCTCTCTATAATCCATTTTCAGTTTGAGTCAGAGGAATTCATTTAAAACAGATCTAATCGATCATGTCGCTCCTCTCCTTATAACTTTCGAATGGCTCCTCATTTTGCTCAAAGACAGAGTCTTCACAGTGGCCTACAAGGTTCTGCATGACCTGCCTCCATTCCCTCTCTGTTCTCGCCTCCTCCTGGCTCACCCCACTCCAGCACGCTGGCCCCCCTGCCATGGTGCAGATATATCAGGCCTTGGCACTAGCCATTTCCTCTGCCTTAGACTCTCTTCCTCCAGATACCGAATGGCCAATTTCCTCACCTCCTTCAAGTCTCAGTTCAGATGTCACCCTCTCCATGACATCTGCCTTGACCACACTATTTAAAATTGCAGACAGCCCCCTGCCCATCTGCTCCGACTGTCCCCACATTCTCAGTCCCCCTTGACTCTACTCCCTCTCCTTCTTTAGAATTATCACCTTCTAACACATTATAGTGACATATCTACTTATGATATTTTTGTTTGTTACATTTATTGTCAGTCTCATTCTGTAGAATATAATCTCCATAACCACAGGTATCTTCAGTATTTTGTTCAATGATATATCTCCAATATCTAGAAAAAGTCCTGATACCTTTAAGTGCTCAATAAATATTTAGTGAATTATTAATAACTCATTCATACAAAAATAGTGCCAGGTTGTCTTATCCTCAGCTTGTTTCCAGAGAAGTATGTTATGAATCCTAGACTTATATATCAGATGAACCCCACTTGGAAAAGCCACAAGGAATAAAAAGAAGACAGAGAAAACTTGGCTATTTAAATATGCAAAATGTTTTCCAGAGTACAAGACAGATCAATGCAGAGAGGAACTGATTAAAGGACCAGCCAAAGATACCTATAAAAAAGGCATGAGTACACATAAGTTCTCACATGCCATATGTTTACACAAGTCATATAAAGAAAAATTTCCTCTTTTGAAACAAAGTGATTATAAGCTATTTATCT